TTTCATTAATATGTGTTTTTGGAGTTAGTTTTGAGTTTGTGTGGGGTTTGGGGTTGAGTATAGGGTGAGGATTGGAGTTTGGGTTGGATTTGTGGTATAACAATTTTAGGGGAGATTATGCCCTTTTTTTTTTCTTTTTTGTTATTTGACCTTTTTTTTTTTGTAGGGAATCGTCGAGACTTTGACGGCTAAAGTTGAGGATTAGGATGCTATTGAAACATATCCTCCGCCACCACCACCACAATAGGCTTGTATTAGGTTTTTTTAATTGTACTTTGTTAATTTATGTGTACATTTTGAATATTATATATATATATATATTTATTGGATAATTTGATCACTATTTTTCATATGTAATTTTATTTTGAATATGTCAATTTAAATTAAAGTAATTAAATTAAATTTAAAAAGTAAACATTTGAATAAATTAATATCAATTTAAATTAATATCAATTTAAATTAAAGTAATGAAAAAAATCATACAATTAAATTAAATATAAAAATTAAAAATTCGAAATAATTAATATAATTAAATTAATATTAAAGAAATAATAAAACAAAAAGTCAAAAACCAAAATATTTCGTCGCGCAAATATTTGCGCGACATTAATATTCGTCCCGCAAAACTCTAAAAATTTGGGCGGGTACCAAAAATGGGACGCGGGAAATTTTTTTTTAAATCTTTTTTGGTCGCGCAAAACTTTGCGCGACCAATATTTTTCGTCGCGCAAAGTCGTTTTGCGCGACAAATATTTTTTCGTCGCGCAAAGTCGCTTTGGGCGACCAATATGTTTCGTCGCGCAAAGTCACTTTGAGCAACCAATATTTTTTCGTCGCGCAAAGCCTCTTTGCACGACGAATGAAAAAATTTCGTCGCGCAAAGTCTTTCTCCATGATCTTTGCGCGACGAAATCTGCGCGACGAAGTTTCTGTCGCGCTAAAATTTGTGCGACTATAATGTATTTTGCGCGACGAAATTCTCTTCGTCGCGCAAAGTGAAAAATGTAGTAGTGAGAATTCCGCTATGTGTAATAAACTATGAGGAGCATATATGTAATAGGTTGAAGTTTCAATTTATTATGTAACTGTTGGAATGTAATATTTGACTCAGAAGAGTTGAGTCTGTATTCAGTGGCGGAGCCATGAATTTAAGTAAGAGGGGGCACCCTTACAAATTCAAACGCTTTCTTTTATGACAAATCAACCTATTTTTTAAGAAATCCCTAATTTTATCACTTATCACTTATCCCAAATTTTTTTTCTACTCTTTCAAATTCTGAAATCATGCAAGTTCAAGTATAATCCATAAAAAATCCATGATTCAAATCTAAGTTTCTAAACAACTAAATCAATCACAAATTCACACAATCATCAACCAACCAAGGAAGTAGAACGACTTACAAACCATCACAAAAAAACACACACAAATAAAGCAGGAAATCTAAATTATAATGATTACAACCCATGACAAAAATATAACAAATTTAACAAAGCAACTTGCATTCATCTGTCCAAAAATACACTTGTATCAGTCAACAATCAATCACCAAACAGATAATTTCAGTAAAAATAGAAATAAATTGTTTGCTTATCTTCAAAACCCTTCAAAGTTTAACAAACGAACATGTCAAAAATCATGAACTACTACTCCTGAATAAGAAACAGATAAACAACAAAATTATATAACCTCATACTAGAGCTCAATAGATATTCATTTTAATCCCCCCCCCCCCCCCCCCCCACACACACACACACAAACTAAAAAAAGTTTATAAAAGTAAACATAGGCACCAGAAGAAAATTATCATCTATCTTTAGCTAAAGGCCTCTCCACTGTGATGACAAATATGAACAATTTCAAGACTATCAACATCACTACGGTTTTAGCTTAGTTATCCTTTGTTCTTATTTCATAAATTTGACTTTGGTGAACTATAAACCAAGGGATGAAAGATAGTTAGAATACAAACTAGCTCTCAAAAACCCTAAAAATTCCAATATACAATTCAAAACCTATAGCTCTCACATATGCAAAACCAAAACATAATATCCACATACAATTGAAAACCCAATACAAAATTAACCCAAAAAAAAGAAGCAAAACTTACAAAACAAAATTGATGAAAACCCAAAACAAAATTGACTTTTTTTTTTTTTTTTTACTGTTTTCTATGAAGAGTATCTAGTGCTGATGAGCCAGAGGGAGAAGGGTCAGGCCGAGATGAGAGAGAAGGTGAGGTGGTCGAGCTCGAGTCGGAGAGAAAAAGGGTAAGGTTGAGAGAGAGAGAGAGTGAGCGATGGCGCGCTGTTCAGAGCTAGGGAGACGATAGAGGTTCAGACGTAAAAAATAAATTGAGATGGAGGTTGGCTGCGAGTTAGGTCAAGAGGAGATGTTTATATTAGGTTAAGAGTAATCTAGTCAAGTAAGCGCGCGGTACAAGTTCCTTTTAGCCAATAATATCATGCCATGTGTCAATTTTATATGTAATTAAATAATAGGCGGTTCGGTTAAGGTTTACCGGTTCAAAAAAATTTGGAATTGAGGGCCGAAATGTTGACTTCGGTTCGAATCAAGTTCAACGTTGAATTTTTTGGTTTGATAAAAAAAGCTTTATTTTTCAGTTCAGTTTAATTTGATTTGGTTGGTTCATTCGGTCCATAGGTTTTTATGCCCTCCCCTAATTTTAGCACCTTTTGGGAACCCAAAATAAAGGTTTAGCTCCTTTCTATTAAAAATAGTCCAATGGGCCCAAATCGTCGGTTTTTCCTGACAGTTAGTATGAGACGACGTCGTATGATATGAACGCTATCCGAAACAAAAAGCCCCTTTGGTCCTATGCAGCTGGACCTGGACTTGCATCATCCACGGCTTGGCGCCAAAATCACTGCAAAACACTAGTCCGTACATCTCTCTCTTCAATCAGTTCCAGTCTCCGAACCAATAGATCACCCATCTCTCTGCTCCACTTACCCTCCATTGGATTCTCTCCTGTCCTTTCACCCAATCAAGGTACTTTCTTTTTTACTCTCTCTGTGTCTCTCTCACTACACTCATACGCAAATGTCTAATTCAATTTTGTGATTTCAATTTGATTACAGGGCTTACACTTGCTTCGCACAATGTTCCTTCACGGCCGTACATTTCAACAGAAGCGGCAGATTTCGCAGACGAAGCTCATTCCATAGACTCAACCCTAGAACCGCCGGAGTACCCGACGCAGGACAGCGTGGAGCAACTGCTCACGCAGAAAAACGACGTCGCACGCCTCATGAAAAATGGAGCGCCACCCTGGGTCCGCACACCAACGCGGCGGTCGGTGGTTCCCATACCTCGACAAGTTCAGCTGCGGCTGCGGGGAAGATGCTTATCTCAGCAGCGGTGAGGTTCTGGAAGCTTTGGATCCGTACATATTGGATGTGAGGAAGGAGAGGTTCAGGAACGCAGTGAAGAACCGGAGCTACTCGGTGTGTTTGGTGGTTGAAGGGTTGGGCGATTTCGGCAACGTCTCTGCCGCGTTTCGGTCCCTCGGGTTTCAGTCGGTTCTTGTGCTCTTGTGCGACAGCTCCAAAAGGTGCAACGGCATGTGAGGTGAAAGGGTCTGGTTCTAGTTCAAAAAATGTATAAAATTAGAAAGGAGATTTATATTTTTCTAAACTAGTTTTTGTTTGATTTTGATTAGTAAGTTTAATTGAAGCTGTTATGTAATGGGTTTCATTTCTTAACTTTCGTTTTTTTTTTTTTTTTTCCCTTTTGTAATAAAAAAACCCTTGATCTTGTTTCAGGTATAGAGACAATCGCCATGTCAGTATGGGGGCAGAGAAATGGTTGGACATTGAACTTTGGAACTCTACTCCAGAGTGCTTTGAAGTTCTGAAATCGTGTGGTTATCGAATTGCCACAACGCATGTGGGCATGGATGCGGTAATTGTCTACTTTCTTCTTCTCTAGAATTTGTTTGCATGAAAGGGATGTTCAAAGAATAATATTTCTTCCAGAAATGCACCATAATCTAAAAAGATTTGATTTTGATATATTTTCTTTTTTTGATCGATAACCAAGCTCTTTCCTTGTTCAGTTTTAAGCTGAAATACTTGTTTCTTTATGATCAATATCAAATATACTTTAGAAATTTGACCCAGAAAAAGGTAATAACACCAAGAAATTATACCTTAGACACAATGTTGTTCAAAAAGAAATTTGGTTGGAGTCCTGTTCATTGCGATACACACTTGTATATACTCTTGTGGAATGTGCAAAGTTATATAAACCGTCTTCTCTCTCGGGCTAACCCGTCTGCTATGCGCGACAGAGCAACTGACAAATCATGATCGTCAGTTGGCTCCTTATACACAACCATTCTGCTGGCAGCATCTCTTACAACTCCCTTGTTGCACATGATGATCAGCCTCGAGCCTTTCTCCTCCATCGTATGGATGAAGTCAGGGGTAAGCTACCAATAAACAAAAGAACAAAAAAACCAAAGAACGAAAATCAATAACTTTTTCTTTTTAAAAGAAAAAATATTATTAATAAGAAACCAAAGAGAACAAAAGGAACCCTAACAAACCGGCAAAAACACCAAACAGAAAACACACAACTGCCTCCTAACAAGAAGCAAGCCAAAACAAAAGGCAGAAGAATCCTAATAGCCTAATATAACCGGAGGAAGGGAACCGACAACATCATAATTGGGATCTTGAAAAAACTTCCCAATTCCAGAAATTTCACAATTCCACAAAAACTTCCCAATTCATTAATGCAAAAACTGAGCACATGGCTATAAGAAATTCAATGGCTTAGTAAACATAAACAATACAATACCAATCTCACAATAGAGCAATAACAGTACAATTACAGTGTGCTGACGGTATAATAACAGTCTGATAACAGAGCCCTAACAATGTAATAACAGTTTGATTACTAGCAGTGCATTAACAATGTAACAATCTTATAACAATCAGATAACAGTATGAAAAAAGATGAAACTAATTGTAGCAAACAGTAGATCTCAAAATGAAATCAATAAACTAAATAGTTAGCACTAAATAGTTATCCAAGTTAGATGAATTACCGAGTCCATGGAGTCCGAGAACACCACAACGGAATCCAAAGGTCCTGTTGTCTCATACTTCCGAGCTGTGCCCGCTGCAGTGACATAATGGAACTTCACTGCAGGTGTTGCATTGTCCAACAATAACAATTTAGCAGCTCTATGCGCTGAATTCTTCATTGGTTTTAGGGAAGAAACCAGAAGCACTGACAAGTATTGAGAAGAAGACAGAAATCCTACACAAGGATAAACATTATGAGATTAAAACAGAAAATAAACAATAGAATATATTCACTTTTCTTTTAAATTACCAATTGCGCTATTGCAGAAACTCCATGTCACTCCAAATGGGTCCCTTAGGGTGCCAACAAGAACACCGGGACGATAAGGGTCCTCCCTTACGGATTCCATCAACACGCATCCGTTGGCCACAGATTTTGCAACCATATCATAAATGTCAGTGGTGACAAGGGATGGACAGATATGAGGAACAGAAGCAACAGCCGCAACATGAAGATCTTCCAACCTGAGATTGGAACCAAGTTGAAAGTAGATTATTAGAAGGGAGAGAGGGAGAGAGGGAGAGAGAGAGAGACAGGGAGACAGAGAGAGAGAGCAAGCAGTATGTGTGTTTTGATGGATGCAATGCAACAACAAGTATCTCATCAAGGGAATTTTCATATCAAAATGACAAACTAACTAACAACTTTTGCTGCCTTCCTCTTGCTTTCCTTTCATTGTCCACACTCTCAAATCACTCTCTCTCAATTATACAAATATATTATGTCTTTTAACTTTGACATAATCTACTAATAGTACTACTCTTCGTCTAGCACTTATGCTTAATCTACTGTTTTTCTTCATTTCTTTAATTTTACCGAGTACACTCTACAGGACCTAAACCCTAAACCCGAAGTACACTCTGTTTGTAATTAAGATAGTTCACTTACCGGTCACTCACGGTTATGCGGTTTGAACCCACGAAAATGCAATAGCTGCTCAGCCAGATTAGACTCTTATTTCCAGACACCCCCACCGCCACCGGACGAGAGCTGTGCTGAATGGTTTGGGCTCCGAAGACAACCTCCTAAAACTCCACGGCCTCCTTGGCTCGTGGTGGTGGTGAAGGGAAGATAACGGCGGCCATTAGATTTGGGGGAGAAGGAAGCGGTGGTTACGGTTGGGGGAAGGAGGCGGTGGTTAAGGTTGGGAGGAAGGAGGCACGAAGAAAAGAGGCGGATATGAAATAGGGTTTAGGGTTAAAACGCGGACAGAGTTTATATATCTTAGGTTTGGCATAAGATGGATGATTAGGATTCACAATCGTACGATCAAATATTATATGATGATCTGACGATGTAGATAAAAACAACTGGAAATGAAAATATATACATAAATGTATTGTACTTCTTGTTGTCATTGTATTATCAAACCCCCTGTTATTTTTTTTTTTTGGGTCTGTTAATACAGTAGTGATACAAGCATGACATTTCTAATACACAGTTCAGAAATCTTACCGTATTGACAAATAAAGCATGACATTTCTAATACACAGTTAATCATGAAATTGTGATTTCATGATTATTGTTATAAGAATACCCTGATCAAATATAAAAACCATTCAAACAAATTCACATGGTCCGAGCATTCTGCACAGCTGTAATTGAGTTTTCTGCACAACCATTAAAAGTAGAAGTACCAACACTTCCAGATAGGTATTTGTTATAAATAAAATACCTCAAAATTTCTTCTTCTTCGTCAGTTGCTCCTTTCCTCTATAACACCCCGTCTCCAAATTTATCCCTTGTTTTAATTAATTTGAGCGAAATTAAGATTTTACCCGTGGGATAGGGGTATTTTAGTCATTTTCTTATCCGGAAGGAATTTGAGAATTCTGGCTGCACTGTTGCGTAGAGCACGGTGAGATGAGTCCGTAGACACGTAGTGGGCTCAAATCGGAGTTGGAACAAGAGAGTTATGATCGAATGAAACTCAGTGGCACGATCGTAATTATTGGAAAAAGGGATTTTTTTATAAAAAGTCCGAAATGAGCTCAGTTCTCTCTCTCTCTCTCCCACTCGCGTCTCTCTCTCCTCTCTCTCGCGACGACCACCGCAGCCGGCCACGTTTTGGCCGGCCGTTCTCTCATCCGGCCACCAAAGTTGACGGGGCCAGTACCAAAATGACTGGGCCATCGTCCTCTTCCAACCCCAGTCAGGCTTTGCCGCCAGCCGCCGTGATTTCGCCGGAAAACGAGAAGAAACGCGCCGGTTTTGATAAAAACTTCGCCGGCTTCGTTCGTCGTCGTCCGGCCCCCATTTCCGACGATCCAGGTATGGATCTTGAACCTCTCGAGCTGTTCTTGCTTCCTGTTGTGTTAGATTTGAGATATTTCTGCGTTTTGGAGATCGATTAAGCGATGGAAATTTGGCGGATTTTCGGCCTCCGATTTCGGCAACTTCCGGTCACTTTTTGGGGTAGTTCCAAGAACAAAAGTGGTTCCAAATGGGGTGTTTTACCTAGGGTTGGAGGCCGGCGGTTTAGAGTTTTTCCGGGCGCCGGAATTTGATCAAGCCACCCACGCGTTGCCAGAGCTTGGGCATTAGGATGGGGACCACATTCAGTCTTAGAATGATCCCTTGGTCCTCACTAGCGCATAGGATTTCGCGGATCTCAATTTGGATACCATTTGAGTCTTGAACGGATATCGCATATTGCACGTTATCCGGGTTCAATAGGTTTAGACCGTTGGATGGTCCTGAATTGTTAATATGTTAATCTAGACATTCTTAGGATCGTGTAGGATTCGACGGATCGTAAAACGGAGTCCTGGATACTCCGAAAATGCCAACCCTAGAGCGAGGGTTTCAGTAACCGTCCGATCGTGTGATCGTGAGCGATCCGACCGTCCGATCTGGACCAAACTTGCAGGACATGTGTCCTAGACCTTGTAGAACTCATAGAAACTATCGGATCAGAATTTGGAGGTCGCGGGCCCAGCGGGCCCATTTGACCAAGGTTGGGTAGTTTTCCCTAGGTTGACCATGAGACTTCCTAGGTAGTATTACCTTCCTAGGAAGATTAAGATGACCGTAGAGACAGGTCTTGATCGTTAGTCGAGTGTGTGGATTATGTGAATTTAGGATATTAATATATTATTTAAATTGGGGGATTATCAGATGCTATACCAGGGTTGAGGTTTATGAAATAGAGGATTATATATTTATATATATTTATGTGTATATATAAAGGTATAAAAAAGAGTTTAGAATGTCAGTTTGAAGTGCTATACGCACTACCCTATGTACCTCCTTGGATATTGATTACCCTGTGTAAGTACTGTCCTGTGATTGTAAGGTCCCACATGTCGTAGGATTATCCGGCGTGCGGACAGACCCCATATGTGGCGCTGTTAGTACCGGCATATGGGGGATATTGTGATACTAGTGAGGTCACACGTGTCATAGGAGTAGCCGGTGTGGTTACAACACGAACTTTGCAATTCAAGTGATTAAGAATAATTATCCATACATCTGTTGTTCTGTGTTCGAATCCCTCCTCTTGTTGGTGTCTCTTGTATATCAATTTATTTGAGTATAGAAAAATGCATTAATTATGGCATGCATGATGATTGTAGATATAATTGAAAGTCATCATAATCCATCCTAAATGGGAAGGGTGGCCCCAATAGCAAACAAGAAGAATACACCATCGTGTCGTGCACATGGAGTGGTCTATTTTTATTTTCCTATGATGAATATGCACATGAAATGTAACTATAACATAAGCACCACCCGCGAGATCTTCAGTCCCACTTTCCACGAGAGACCATCACAAATTCACAAAATTCAGAATATGAGTAGGGGAACGTTGGGTTCGTCTGGGTCATTTGGTGATCATAGGAGATATATGCAGCTACTTGAGCTCTGCCCTAACCCATAATCATACATAAACTTGATTTGGTCTATAGTCACTTGTAAATACCCACTCAACCTCATGCTACCCAAATGAACGAATAGGCCACAACGACCCAAATCAACACAGAATGATTCTAGACATGTCATCATCTTGAGGATCGCTAGTGGGTTGTAGTTTGAAAGGTATGAGAAGAAGTGTTACGACTACTTTTATTTATATGGTCTGGGTCAACCCAAATCTGCTTGGGGGATTAATGGGCAGCATTTAACCACATTAAACATCTGTAAGGGATTTATAACTCAAGTGGTTAAGGACATTTATCCATGCCCACAGTTATTATCTTCCCGCAACTGAAGAAGCCCGTTTCTCATGGAGCTACAAATAAGCTCAAGATGGGGGAAGGCCCACAAGAGGGAAAATGGAAAAGGGCCAACTTCAATTTTCAAACCCAACCAAGAACATGTTAGATGCCATGGCCCATGCCAGAGATTCAAGCAGGAACCCAAAGAGGCCCTAAACGCCAGAGACCATGAGAAAATAGTGAAGCACCAGACTGAAAACGATAAGGCTAACGCGCACAACTCGGTGAGTGGTAGTGTTAGAGGCCTTCCGCAATTGCTGCTCATTCCACACTCTCCTCCTTATAAAAACTGTTCTAAAAAGCTAACCTCTCCCACCCCTCCACTCCATCCACACCCACTTCCTATAAGATCAAGTGCCCGTTTTCTGCTTCAAGCAAATCTACATATCTACAAATAGTACTTTCATTTTCAACCCATCATATATTTAGCTTCTTTTCGCTCTGCATTCTTTATTTCTGGACCTTTTTTTTCCTTTTTCTTTTTGTTATAGGTGCCATGACCAAGTGAATGGCATATAACTCCTTTTTGGTTTCTGGGGAAAAATGAGGACATGCTCCATGTGCTATTCTAACTTGCAAGTACCAAAGTTGGGTCTTCAGTCACCTTTTCTTGGATTACCATATTTAGGGAGAAGAGCAACAATAACCACCATAAGTCAACCACTTTTAAAATGCTTCAGAAGCATACAATACCAAAAATCAGACTACAATATAATCGAATCCTCAAAAAACGGATATGAATTCACAAGAAAAAATCGAATACCTCAAAATCGATGATCACAGATCGCACCAAGCTCCAATTGAGTCTCTTGCAGCGCAATATCAATCCAAAAATTACCAAATCAAACAACAAATAACAAAAAAATTGAAGCAATAAAACTCCAATCTACACCATACTGAGCTCAGAAGAATCCAAAATCTGGAACCACATCATACTGAGCTTCGTTCGAAGAGGTGAACGAAGCTCGTTTGGAATATTCGATCTGCTGAGGTTGCCAAACAAGTTTCTGTTATGAGGTCACCAACGTAAATTTTAAGAAATTCCTATCCTAACTGGCGAATTTTGGGCATGTTTCAAAGAATTCAAACCAAAAGGTCAAAACCGTAATCTAACATAGAAAATAAATCCAAAAATTGACAGATGTTGGTTTTTGGGTTTATTTTGGATGTGTTTATATGTTTTAAATAGTGTAGGGTATGATTATAGTTTAATGTCTAGAATTGGGTGTTTAACTAATTTTGTAAAAAAAATATTGTGTTTATCAACTACCAGTGTAAAGGAGAAATGAACCAGCATATGCCTATTTGTAGTTATTCTCTGTTCATTTCACGGTGAAACATACTTGCTTGGAGCATGAGAAAGGTTGTTTTGATGGAACAGGGGCGCGAGCTTCATCTTCATCTTTCAAGCTGAATTTTCAAACTGGGTCATGCTCTTGAGGTCAGTTCTCTCATCAAACCACTTCGTATGGTTGAAGAAAGATCAAAGACTTTATATGTTGAGGGTTTTTGTTGTTGCCGTGATCATCTGACTAATGACTAATGAGGAGGAAAGTGAGTGTTTTGGGTAATTGAGTAGCTGTTTTGGTGTTTGCTATTCAAGTGGAATTTGGGGTTATACATCATCATCTGTAGAAATATTAGAGCTTTGATTTTGAATTTGAGCTTTCATTGCACAAAAATATTATTATTGAGGTTTTGGTACTGAGTAGTCGTTATAGATGAATTATTGTAACATCTAGTGACTTTTTTTTTTTTTCAATTGTTGGGTGTAAAATACCAACCAACCAATCTCATAAAATTTCTGATACTTGTATATACTATATAGTATATAGTAACTCTCGTAATAATTATCAACATTAAATTTATAATGGCCCGATTACAACATATTTATATATAGATATTTCAGAATTGGCCTAATTAAATTGGTAGCCTTGAACAATGATCGTTACAGAAATTATAATTCGATCCATAATGAAAAGGAAAAAAAAAAAAAACTGGCATAATCAGATACATATGTAAAGCCCAAATTTAGAGAATTATAATTTGCGCATCGGTCTTTACTTCCTTTAGTTTCTCTTGGACAAGTGACCTGCCTTTTTCTTCCCAATATGAATTTGATAGATATGCAACATTTACGCCCAGGACGTCCCACCACGCTCCACCACCCATATACAATTTTCCAAACGGATCGATTTCCATGATCTCGAGCTTTGTTGTAATTTGCAAAATAGAAATGGCAAACTCCATCTCGCACGGTGTGCTTCGAAATGCCTGCAACTTAACTTTTCTCAGATGATCATGTTTGATCCTAGAAAAACTCTGTGTCTGTTGTTGGTTCTCAGAGAAATTATCAACCAATAACTGCAATAACGTAAAAGAAATCTCTCATGTAATGGGCATCATCTAATTTGGTTGAATGACATATATAACAACTGATTTTGCATATATAGAAAGTATAAACTTTTAATTACTAACCGTTACTACAAGTTCTTCCAAACGAGGTGCAGCATTGAGAAGATTCAGAGGCCCAACGAGGTCAGCCCCATTAAACAGATGCAGGTCCAGTTTCTTAAGGTCTCTAAACATTGGCAAGTTTTGGGGAATCCGCTGCACATAAACACCAACCGTCTAAAAGTTAAATTTTGCAAACAATATTAGTTGGCATGCTTCAGAAAGTTGACTAGAAACAAATCTTCACTCACCCATGTAGCCACCGTCATACCAAGAGTCTCAAGCCCAAGAAAAGATCCAAATTGGGTTAGTGTATCCCATAAGTCATTGTAATCCATCGGATCATAATAAATTCTTGCTGGATGTGGAGGTTTGATGGAAAGATGCAGATTTGGACGTCCATCTACGAGCTCCAAGTAAGCAACCTTTGCTAGAGAAATATCAACTCTTTCTATATCAGTACAATTGACCACTCTCAAATCATTCAGATGAAGCGATGGACCTCCAACAATCAGATCCGTGGCTCCCGTGCAACCATCTAAGGTCAAGCTTTCGAGTAGCAAACAGTCAGATAAGAGACGTGCCAGAGAAATGTTGTCTACCACAGCTTTATACAGATAAAGAGTTGTTAGCTGATTGAATCTGTCAAAGTCGGGTGGAGGTCTTAGTAAACATCTAGCCAATGACAACTTCTTTAGAGGTGATGGGTTCAGCTCTGAAAGCAACCAGCAAGGGAAATCATAAAAAGTTTCTGTCTCTTCTGTATCTGGCAGTGAGTACGTGCAAGAATATAAATGAAGGTCAAGCACTTGAGCTCCCTTTGTAATTGCAAAACGAATCCATTCGTCAAGGATAGTGGTGGATTCTCTGTTAAAAAAGAATTCCACTTTGAACGAGTCTACCTTGTTGCCATGGTGGAGCTGCAAAACTTTGTTCACCCATCTTACAAAGACTTGTTTTGAGAAGTCCTCAGCAAACAAGTCGTCTTCATCATAATCATCATCTCGAACGTTGATTCCGAAAATGTTTGCAAGGTCAAATTCAAGATTGACCCTTGTTAGTATTGGCTGCAATCCAAGATGCCTCCATGGACGTGATACCATGGTGGTAACCACTACATCTTTTAGGGTCAAGAGTGAAAATATGGATACCAATATGCAATCTGGCAACTCATTAATCCAGTCCTTGCTCTCGCCCTCCTCATCCTAAAAACATAACAACAACACCCCACTGAATAACTAAACATATTACATTACCCTTCCTTGATCAATCATGCACTTGAAGAGGAAGAAAAAGAGGAAAGAAAGAAATATTGAACCTCTAAAATATGAAAAATGAATACAACCATAACTCAACATGTCATGAACTCTAGACTAGACCTTGTTTTGCACTCTCTTTTTTCTTCTAGCTGTTGCATATTGTATTAAATTTGAGAGCGGAACAGTAGAAAGCTTCCATTAAATTTATATATGCATATATATATATTTATATATGCATATATATATATATGTATATGTATATAGGCATGTTTTGCTATATCTCTTGAACAATAAGAAAAAAATTAAAAAGGTTAAAAACACTTACAGTAGCTAATATTCTATCTTTATCCATTGGCCTTCACGTGGTAGAATCTTGACCGCCTTTGCTTTTCTTTTTCTTTTGATTTTTGCTTTTGATCTGATCAAGAATCATAGATCCGCGACAAGAGTTAAAAGCAAGGGAGATCTGACCCCAAAAAAACACGAGTACGAGAATACTAGGTTTCAGTTCAGACATCTGACCAGAAATAAAACATTTTTATTTTTTTTATTTTTCAAACAATACCAGATTTTAGACATAGATCCAGCAAAATAAGATCATCGAACCAGCCCAAGTAGGAGGAACAAGCAATAGCAAATTCTTAACCCTCAATGTAGACTAGAAGAAACCATGAGCATGCAGTTTGAAAACATAAAATAAATATAAAAACTTTTACCTTAAACAGAAAGATAAACGGGCAAGAGGAGCGGCCTGTACTGGGGGAAGGGAGGAGAGACAGAGAAGAGGAAATTGCAAGAAACCCTTGCATTTATATAAAAAAATCTTGTACAGATTGACCAGGAAAGAAAAGGAAAAAAAAAAAAGGCAATGTTAAATAGGTTCAGGGATTAAAAAAAATAGCAAGAATTCATTAGGGATATAAAAAATAGCAAGTAAGAATTCATAAAATTATATATATACTAAAACTGAGTTCGGGAATTCACTGTTCCTAGACTGTAGCTTAGCAATAGTGAAGTGACGATTTTGCCCTCACGTAAGAGATGGTCTGCTTCCTTGAGCTGACTTTTGAACAGTGAATTGGCCGTTATGCCCTCCAGCCCTGTTCTCTTTTCTTCGAACCTCTTCCCTTCATCGCAGCCCTCTCTCCTAAACGATAACCAATCGGCCATACTCGTTAAATATATTACAATATTTAAATAGTCTAGCCGTACGGCTATACTCTTAAAATATATTAGAATATTCTACAAGTATATACGTGCGGCTGTACGAGTTAAATATAATCGAATAGTTAAAGAGTATAGCCGAACGGCTATACGCGTCAAATATATTCGAATATTTAAATAGTATAGCCGTTCGGCTATACACGATAAATATATTAGAATATTCTAAGAGGATAGCCGCACGGCTATACCTTTGAAATACCATGTTAACTATTTTCGAATATTTAAATTGTGTAGCCGCGCGGCTATACTCTTGAAATATATTAGAATATTCTAAACGTATAACCAAGCGGCCATACCAGTTAAATATATTCGTATAGCCGGGCGGCTATACTGTTAAAATATATTAGAATATTCTAAAAGTATATCCGTGCGGCTGTACGCGTTAAATACAATTGAATAGTTAAATAGTAAAGCCGTGCGGCCCTACGCGTACAATATATTCGAATATTCTAAGATTATAGCCGGTCGGCTATACTGTGAAACACATTAGAATGAGGGGGAGAGAGCTTAATTTAAGTTGTTGATTATTAGAAGCTTCAATCTATGGCTTCTTGGGTTCTTTTACCCGTAGCTCCAGTAACCGGTCGCTGTCTAGTGGCTCCTGTGAGAACTCAGAGGTCGTCCTCCATCTGCGTTTGGTCGCTGCCTACACGCTGACTCCATGTTTTCATTGGTTGCTACAGTAATCTTTTCCGATTAATGAAAAAGGGGAACAATTATTGCTTGGTTGAACTGCTATGACATTTGGGTGATCCTGATATTCTGGGAAAAATCCTTATAAACATCTTTATTATTCTTTAACCATGTTTGTATGATATCTGATATTTTTTTATTCTTGGATCTCCACTTAAAGAGGTGGGCGCAGACGAAAATCTACTGTTCAAGGATCATACTCATACTTTTGTAAACAAAGGGGGTAACATTGGTGGTATGTCTCAGTGCTTGATCTTATTTGCTGCATTATGAATTATTCGTATCCAATGCACCTTATCTTTCCTCTCATATCAATCATCTCCTCTCTCAACTTCAGACGATCTCCAAAGGCATATCTTCAGCGCCTCAAGGAACTTGCTGATGCTCTTGCTGCAAGTGTTGCGCCTATTGACGATGCTGATCTCGTTTATCACACTCTTCATGGTCTCCCTGATGAATTTGAGCCGTTGTTGACTCTATTGAAGTGTGTGCTGATCCATGCTTCATGTCTAGAGGAAGCTCTAGCTATCTTTTGTTTTGAGTATTTATTCTCTATGCTTCATGCCTGCACCAATTATCTTGCAAAAAACAGAGCAGAGAAATACAATTGTTTTGAGTATTTATTCTCTATGCTGTTTGTGATAGAACTTCTCGCCTGGTAATGACACTATTGCTGCACATCATCTTGTATTTCAGAATACATCCAACTTCCTTTTTCTTTTTCTCGTTTTTGTTTGGAAAATTATTGTAACGGTTGTTTTATGATGATCTTGATTGCTGTATAAAAGATTGCATTTGCCCCCTTTAGGCATCTTTTTGCCACAGCACTAGCCCATAAGACTTTATCTGTTGAAGGTTTTTGTTGTTGCCGCGATCATCTGACTAATGAGGAGGAAAGTGAGTAGCTGTTTTGGTGTTTGCCCTTCAATTCTTTTCCACAGCTTTAAATTTCTTTTCTGATAGTATAGCCGTTTGGCTATACTCTTACCGTATAGCCGACCGGCTATAATCTCAAAACTTATTAGAATATTCTAAAAGTATAGCCGTTCGGCGATATGCGTTAAATTTATTCGAATATTTAAATAGTATCGCCGGACGGCTATACTCTCGAAACTTATTAGAATATTTAAATAGTATAGCCGGTCGGCTATACCGCCTGAATATATTGGAATACGTTGAAAGTATAGCCGTCCGGATATACGCTTTGAATATACGTACTGCTTGGGGGGAGAGAGAGAGAGAGAGAGAGAGAGCTCAATTTAAGTTGTTGATTCTTAGAAGCTTCAATCTTTGGCTTCTTGGGTTCTTTTACCCGTAGCTCCAGTAACCGGTCGCTGTCTAGTGGCTCCTGTGAGAGCTCAGAGGTCTTCCTCCGTATGCGTTCGGTCTTCTTTGGATAGGACACTATTGTTTCTGGCATGGGTGTAAATGGTAAAGTTACCATCTTTTTTAGCTTCAATTTGACAATTATATCTGTTTTTATTGCTATTCAGTCTCTTTTGATTTCTGGATATTCTTACTTACTTTTGGTGAATTATAATGAATTTGAGGAAACCGGTGAGGGGAACACTCTGAAGTTAGTATTCTGAGATGAATGTTTACTCTGCCCAGCTCCAAAAGGGTTGTTTCCAGCTGAACCTGAACACTACCGAGGTCCCAAGCTCGAAGTGGCTATAATTGGAGCTGGGCTCGCAGGCATGTCAACAGCATTTGAGCTTTTGGATCAAGGCCACGAGGTTGGTCCAATTTATGTTATAGTCCACCGACTGCTCTCAATTATGTCTGGATTGTATGTTTCTTTATGTTTAGGTTTTTTACTTCAGTATATGATTTAAAGTTTTGAAATTGGGGACTTTGGCTGAAACGTTTCAGTAGCTCACTTCCGATTTTCAGCTAGGTTGTTTATTTCTAAGAAATTAGTTACATGTGTTCTATATAAATTCTGCAGGTGGATATATAAGAGTCAAGGCCTTTCATTGGTGGAAAAGTGGGATCCTATGTTGAACGTTGAAACCACATTGAAATGGGACTCCATGTTTTCTTTGGTTGCTACAGTAATCTTTTCCGATTAATGAAAAAGGCGAACAAATATTGCTTGGTTGAACTGCTATGACATATGGTGATCCTGATATTCTGGGAAAAATCCTTATAAACATCTTTATTATTCTTTAACAATGTTTGTATGATATCTGATATTTTTTATTCTTTGATCTCCACTTAAACAGGTGGGCGCAGACGAAAATCTACTTGTCAAGGATCGTACTTAAATCAGGAAAACCAGTAAAGAAAAAAATTCATATGTTTTCTTCCTTTATCATTTAGAGAGCTTCTTGAAGTGAACCAAATTGTAATGGAGCTTATTGCTCAATTAAATTTCTGTTACTGGTTTCCTGTATAATACTGTTCAAATGCAGACTTATGATAAAGCAAGAAATGCAGTGGCTCTTGCATTAAGTCCAGTTGTGAAGGCTCTGGTTGATCCAGATGGAGCATTGTGAAGGCTCTAATAAATCGTAATCTGCTGTACCATTCTCCGAGATTATGGTGTTAATGAGATGCCGAATATGCAAATGTAAGCAATCAATATAAATAAAAACTCCAAAGGTAAGAACGATTTACATTTTGTATATATATTCAAGCATTACCACCTCATCTATCATTTCTATAATCTCAGCATGTCAAAGAAACAGTTTCTGCATAAGTTCCAAACTCCACTTCTCCAATGCCTCAGGTAGAACAGAATGGTTTGTATATTCAGCCGTTCTAGCACACATATGGCAGGATGTGAGGGAAAAGAAGTTGCTACAGTTGAGCATGCACTAAGAATAGGTATCCTCAATGAACAAATGATATTATACATGGGCAAACAACTCCTTGACAAATATGATCAACATATGAACGGCTATATTGCTTTATGTTAGATTGATAAAGATGGAAAGGTTATTGGACCAACTAAAGCATATGTGCATGGAAACCCAATAGGCAAACGAACAGGGCTAGATGTGAAAAGATATTCACGCGTATGCATGTATGTATGATAGCATTCAGGACAAGAAAAAGGAAAAGGATGCCCTCCTCTAGAAACAAGTAGGAGTCTCTTGCTTGTATTATCATATTCCAACCATTCTCAAATGCCTCTGAATTCCCCATTTGTACATACACTACAAAAATTCCTACATAATCAACCAATAAATGCCCATAAAGGGAGTTAACTTTGAGTAATATTCCTGGCCTCCTTCCAGCTCAAACCCTTCAAATCAATCAAAATTCATGCGGTTATGTTGGCTCCTTATACGCCACTATGCTGCTGGAAACATCTTTTATAGCTCCTTTCTTGCACATGGCAATCTGATTGTCATGTGCAAGAAAGGAGCTGTAAGAGATGCTGCCAGCAGCATAGTGGCGTATAAGGAGCCAACAGAACCGCATGAGTTGTCAGTTGCTTTGTCTCACATAGCATATGGCTTAGTCCGAGAGAGACGGCGGCTTCTGAATGGTTGGAGCGGATAGAGCCACTGTGCTTGTGCTTTTGTTTTTTTGGGAACATGTAAATTTGTAATGAATTGCTTTCTTCCAGTCTTTATAGTCAACAAATTCACCATCCTAGTCCTGATTTGAAGGTGCTGCCTCTTGATGACCCTTCTCCATTTTTTTGTCCACAACAGCCCCAAGCCACTGTGGCCTTTTCCAATCTTTCAAAATTAACTGTAGTGTCATCATGTGGATAAGAAGGTAGTGAGCATTCTTCTGAAAGAAAATGCAACTATTTCGAACGCTAACATATTCCGAGTGTTTAGTTCATTTTCATTGTAGGCATGTTTTGCTACATCTCTTGAACAATAAGAAAAAATTAAAAAGGTGAAAAACACTTACAGTATTCATTGGCCTTCACGTGGTAGAATCTTGACCGCCTTTGCTTTTCTTTTTCTTTTGATTTTTGCTTTTTCTGATCAAGAATCTGAACTACCTAAAAAGAGTCATGCGCAATATTAAATTAATTAACATCAAGATGAGTTTGCAGGTTTTTAAGATAAGACGAAAGTGATGATGCAACAATTGGAAACGGGAAAGAGGTTTTTTCTTTTTTCTTTTTGGGTCAATTGCAAAACAAGTGGTAAAGAGGCCCAAGTAGCAAAGCGACAAGAGTTAAAAAGCAAGTGAGATCTGACCGGAAAAAAACACGAGTACGAGAATACTAGATTTCAGTTCAGACATCTAGATCTGACCAGAAATAGAACCTTTTTTTTTTTCAAACAATACCAGATTTTAGGCATAGATCCAGCAAAATAAGACCATCGAACCAGCCCAAGTAGGAGGAACAAGCAATAGCAAATTCTTAACCCTCAATGTAGACAAGAATTTTGATGGTCTGGGAGAGGCCATCGGCATGAAGGCAAATTTCCCAGACATCTAGATCTGACCAGAAATAAAACCTTTTTTTTTTTCAAACAATACCAGATTTTAGACATAGATCCAGCAAAATAAGATAATCGAACCAGCCCAAGTAGGAGGAACAAGCAATAGCATATTCTTAACCCTCAATGTAGACAAGAATTTTGATGGTCTGGGAGAGGCCATCGGCATGAAGGCAAATTTCCCACACAGTAGACTAGAAGAAACCATGAGCATGCAGTTTGAAAACATAAAATAAATATAAAAACTTTTACCTTAAACAGAAGGATAAACAGGCAAGAGGAGCGGCCTGTACTGGGGGAAGGGAGGAGAGACAGAGAAGAGGAAATTGCAAGAAACCCTTGTATATATTAACCTCCAATGCATATCTCATGTATTTATGGTACCTCCAATTTATTGGCTCTCTCATCTCCTGTCAGTAACAAAGGCAGAAACCCAAAAGAAATTTCATGGGCATGGCGACTCATGGAGCTGCTCGGCAGAAACCCTAACCCTAACCCTATATATATACTCTCTCCGTTAAATATGTAATAATATTTAAATACGGCTATACTGTTGAAATATATTACAATATTCTAAAAGTAGAGCCGCTCGGCTATACGCTTACGAACTGCTTGGAGAGAGAGAGAGCTCATTTTAAGTTGTTGATTCTTAGAAGCTTCAATCTATGGCTTCTTGGGTTCTTTTACCCGTAGCTCCTGTAACTGGTCGCTGTCTACTGGCTCCTGTGAGAACTCAGAGGTCGTCCTCCATCTGCATTCGGTCTTTTCTGGACACTAATGTTTCTGACATGAGTGTAAGGGGTAAAGTTCCCATCTTTTTTAGCTTCAATTTGACAATTATCTCTGTTTTTATTGCTATTCAGTCTCTTTTGATTTCTGGATATTCTTACTTACTTTTGGTGAATTATAATGAATTTGAGGAAACTGGTGCTGGGAGCACCCTTAAGTTAGTATTCTGAGATGAATGTTTACTCTGCCCAGCTCCAAAAGGGTTGTTTCCACCTGAATCTGAACACTATCGGGGTCCCAAGCTAAAAGTGGCTATAATTGGAGCCGGGCTTGCAGGCATGTCAATAGCATTTGAGCTTTTGGATCAAGGCCACGAGGTTGGTCCAATTTATGTTCTAGTCCCCCGACTGCTCACAATTTTGTCTGAATTGTATGTTTCTTTCTGTTTAGCTTTTTTACTTCAGTATATGGTTTAAAGTTTTGAAATTGGGGACTTTGGCTGAAACGTTTCAGCAGCTCACTTCCGATTTTCAGCTAGGTTGTTTATTTCTAAGAAATTAGTTACATGTGTTCTATATAAATTCTGCAGGTGGATATATATGAGTCAAGGCCTTTCATTGGTGGAAAAGTGGGATCCTATGTTGATAAACGTTGAAACCACATTGAAATGGGACTCCATGTTTTCTTTGGTTGCTACAGCAATCTTTTCTGATTAATGAAAAAGGTGAACAAATATTGCTTGGTTGAACTGCTATGACATTTGGGTGATCCTGATATTCTGGGAAAAATCCATATAAACATCTTTATTATTCTTTAACAATGTTTGTATGATATTTTTTATTCTTGGATCTCCACTTAAAGAGGTGGGCGCAGATGAAAATCTACTGTTCAAGGATCATACTCATACTTTGGTAAAAAAAGGAGGTAACATTGGTGGTATGTCTCAGTGCTTGATCTTATTTGTTCATAAATCTTTCCTCTTCTAGCCATGCTCCATTATGTCACAATTCATTAATGAATTATTTGTATCCAATGCACCTTATCTTTCCTCTTGCTTGGAGGTTGAGAAAGGTTGTTTTGATGGAACAGGGCCATGAGCTGTTGAAGAATATGAGTCCTATATCGGAAACTTGACTAAATAAAATAAAAAATATAATGAATGGTTATACTATTAATAACACCAAGGCCTTTTGTGATAAAACCTCACACCTACTAGACTTTGTTAGTAGTAGGCCGCTAGCAACTGTAAGTAGAAGTTCCTATTAACTAGGACTTCCTTTAAGTCTTATTTGGGAGTATAGTAGTGGAGGATTAACTCCACTACGCCCATCTGAGCAATCCAGCATCGTTTAAGCGGATTTTGGTGCTTAGTAGAACAAACAAAACTAGAAGTGCATTGGAACTGTTTACTTCCATGGAACTACATGTCTGCTTCCTAATTTACATGCCTGCAATTCATTGTTATCTCACCTTTTGAGAAATGAGTTACTTGATGATGGCTTCAGAGTATTTGAATTTATGAAGAGAAAGAAGCTTAGCCACAGGGCATACTTATAGCTTAATACTCAAAGCAGTTTCGGTTGCTGTGGCTGAGGGCTGCAGCTCTGCCATTGAAATGTTTGTGGCAATGGAAGGGGAAAGTGAAGTGAGGGATGGTTTTGATACCATCGTCTATAACACAATGATATCAATTTGTGGTAAAGTAAATAATTGGCGTGAAACTGAGAGATAAGGAGAATGACCTTACTGGAACACAAATTACTTATTGCCTCTTAGTTAGCATTTTTGTTCGTTGTGGTCAGCACGAGCTATCTCTTGATTCTTACAATGAAATGATTCAAAACAAATTTGAACCTGGGAATGATACAATGCATGCTATCATTGGTGCATGCTCACAGGACGGAAAGTGGGATCTTGCGCTAAACATCTTCCAAAGTATGTTTGGACAGTGGGCTCAAGCCAAATGCAGTTGCTTTCAATGCATTGATAAATTCACTTGGGAAGGCTGGGAAGGTTGAACTAGCATTCAGGGGTATATAATATCATGAAATCTTTGGGTCATTCACCGGATGCTTACACATGGAATGCATTGTATAGGGTAAATCGACATCATGATGCCCTTAGGCTTTATGAGAGTATCTAGACAAGTCAGGGCTCTCAATCGAACTTACATTTGTACAATATGGCTTTAATGTCATGCTCAAAGCTCGGGCTATGGGATAAAGCTCTGAAGCTTTTATGGCAATTAGAAGCTTCGGGGCAGTGAGTTTCAACTGCATCAAGACAATCTCCAATCAATCATCTCCGCTTTCAACTGCATGGAGAAACGATTTGCTGGCATTTCGAGATCTCATATCAATCATCTCCGCTCTCAACTTCAGACGATCTCCAAAGGCTATCTTTCTATGTCTGAATATCTTCAGCGCCTCAAGGAACTTGCTGATGCTCTTGCTGCAAGTGTTGCGTCTATTGACAATGCTGATCTCATTTATCACACTCTTCGTGGTCTCCCTGATGAATTTGAGCCGTTCATTCACTCTATTGCAGTGTGTGCTGATCCATGCTTCATGTCTAGAGGAAGCTCTGGCTATCTTTTGTTTTGTTTTGAGTATTTATTCTCTATGCTTCATGCCTGTACCAATTATCTTGCAAAAAACAGAGCAGAGAAATACAATTGTTTTGAGTATTTATTCTCTATGCTGTTTGTGATAGAACTTCTCGCCTGGTAATGACGCTACTGCTGTACATCGTCTTGTATTTCAGAATACATCCAACTTCCTTTTTCTTTTTGTCATTTTTGTTTGGAAAATTATTGCAACGGTTGTTTTATGATGATCTTGATTGCTGTATGTTCTGTAATAGAAAAATGCACTTTTCAAGTGATACCTTATGAGAATAAATTACAAGGCAATCGTAAACAGAATGTCCTATGCTGGCTATTGATATCGTTATGGAAATTCTGTTCTCAACTGTATTTGTGCAATCGAACATACCTGAGTTTTTGTAAAAGACTGCATTTGCCCCCTTTAGACATCTTTTTGCCACAGCACTGGCTCGTAAGACTTTATCTGTTGAAGGTTTTTGTTGTTGCCTTGATCATCTGACTAGTGAATGAGGAGGAAAGTGAGTGTTTGGGTACTTGAGTAGCTGTTTTGGTGTTTGCCCTTAAATTCTTTACCACAGATTTAAATTTCTATTCTGACAGTATAGCCGTGTGGCTATACGCTTGGAATATATTAGAATATTCTAACAGTATAACCGTGCGGCGATACGCGTTAAATTTATACGAATATTTAAATCGTATAGCCGAGCGGCTATACTCTCAAAACTTATTAGAATATTCTAAAAGTATAGCCGTCGGCGATACTCGTTAAATATATTCGAATATTTAAATAGTATAGCCGCACGGCTATACGATATATTAGAACATTCTAAGGGTACAGCAGCGCGGCTATACACGTTAAATATATTCGAATATTAAAATAGTATAGCCGCACGGCTATATGATGTAAATACGAACATTCTATGGGTACAGCCGTGCGGCTATACGCGTCAAATATATTCGAATATTTAAATATGCTAGCCGCACGGCTATAAGGTTTTAAATATATTAGAATATTCTCCAGGTACGGCCGCACGGCTATAATCGTAAAATATATTCGAATATTTAAATATGCTAGCTGCACGCTATAAGGTTTTAAATATATTAGAATATTCTCCAGGTACAGCCGCACGGCTATAATCGTAAAATATATTTGAATATTTAAATAGTATAGCCCATTGGCTATACCGCCTAAATATATTTTACGTTAAAAGTATAGCCGACCGGCTATACCCTTTGAATATACGTACTGCTTAGAGAGAGGGAGAGAGAGCTCAATTTAAGAAGTTGATTCTTAGAAGCTTCAATCTTTGGCTTCTTGGGTTCTTTTACCCGTTGCTCCATTAACCGGTCGCTGTCTATTGGCTCCTGTGAGAGCTCAGAGGTCTTCCTCCGTCTGCGTTCGGTCTTCTCTGGACACTAATGTTTCTGGCATGGGTGTAAATGGTAAAGTTCCCATCTTTTTTAGCTTCAATTTGACAATTATCTCTGTTTTTATTGCTATTCAGTCTCTTTTGATTTCTGGATATTCTTACTTACTTTTGGTGCACTATAATGAATTTGAGGAAGCTGGTGATGGGAGCACTATTAAGTTAGTATTCTGAGATGAATGTTTACTCTGCCAGCTCCAAAAGGGTTGTTTCCACCTGAACCTGAACACTACCGAGGTCCCAAGCTCAAAGTGGCTATAATTGGAGCTGGGCTTGCAGGCATGTCAAAAGCATTTGAGCTTTTGGATCAATGCCACGAGGTTGGTCCAATTTATGTTTATAGTCCACCGACTGCTCTCAATTATGTCTGGATTGTATGTTTCTTTATGTTTAGCTTTTTTACTTCAGTATATGATTTAAAGTTTTAAAATTGGGGACTTTGGCTGAAACGTTTCAGCAGCTCACTTCCGATTTTCGGCTAGGTTGTTTATTTCTAAGAAATTAGTTACATGTGTTCTATATAAATTCTGCAGGTGGGATATATATGAGTCAAGGCCTTTCATTGGTGGAAAAGTGGGATCCTATGTTGATAAACGTTGAAACCACATTGAAATGGGACTCCATGTTTTCTTTGGTTGCTACAGTAATATTTTCCGATTAATGAAAAAGGTGAACAAATATTGCTTGGTTGAACTGCTATGACATTTGGGTGATCCTGATATTCTGGGAAAAATCCTTATAAGCATCTTTATTATTCTTTAACAATGTTTGTATGATATCTGATATTTTTTATTCTTGGATCTCCACTTAAAGAGGTGGGCACAGACGAAAATCTACTGTTCAAGGATCATACTCATACTTTTGTAAAAAAAGGGGGTAACATTGGTGGTATGTCTCAGTGCTTGATCTTATTTGTTCATAAATCTTTCCTCATCTAGCCATGCTCCATTATGTCACAATTCATTTATGAATTATTCATATCCAATGCACCTTATCTATAACTTAATTTTCCATCACAGAATTTGATTTTCAGTCCCAATTGGAGCACCAATACATGGGATTCTTGCATTTTTTTTCTACAAATCAGATTAAGGTAGGTTGTCCCTATTGGAGCCACTGCTACTGGTTTTACTGCAAGCATTGTCATGTCTCGTTACTTTGGATACCAGTACGGAGAATGAAGCATTGCTTTCGCCTTAAATCAGGAAAACCAGTAAAGAAAAAAATTCATATGTTTTCTTATTTTGTCATTTAGAGAGCTTCTTGAAGTGAACCAAATTGTAATGGAGCTTATTGCTCAATTAAATTTATGTTAATGGTTTCCTGTATAATACTGTTCAAATGCAGACTTATGATAAAGCAAGAAATGCAGTGGCTCTTGCATTAGGTCCAGTTGTGAAGGCTCTGGTTGATCCAGATGGAGCATTGAGGGATGTACGGAATTTGGATAGTGTAAGAATGAAAGCTATCGCTATCCTTTATTTTGGTATCCATTCATTTGTGTACCTGTGAAAGTTGTCTGATTGTGTTTTATTTTTTCTTTTTGGTGGGGGTGGGGGAGTTGTATTCTCTGAATTTTTAGTTGAATCCGGGAATGTTCTGCAGTTTATTTTCTCCATGTTCATAATTGAATTATAATTATGTATTATTTTTCACACAATTGTTGTAACTTTTAAAATCTTACTGGTTAATTACAAGACTAATGGACAAAGATACTTGTGTTTGATAGGAAATTGAAGCAAACTTTGGGATTACTAATCTTTTTTATACTCCTGATGCAGATTTCTCTTGCTTTGCCGGCCTAGCACTTACTTCTCCGGAAGATTACTACATTGAGGGACAAGGTTCACTCCTCTAGTAAGGAAAACATGTGCATTATTGTTATCACATTTTTCAATCTTTGGGTTTTACAAGTAGAGATTACATATAATATAACCAGACACCCTCTTTATTTTGAAATTTTCAAATCAAAATTTATGAGGTTTCTTGAAAGTTCATTTTGCATCTCAGTGTGTCAAAATGTATTCTAATGTGAGATTAATGATCCTTTGTATATCAGAAATATTTGCACTTTTATGATTGTGAACTTTGTGCTGATGCTTCTTCGTCTTGCAGATGCGTTTTGACACCAGGTGGTCCTTACATACCTTTACCAAACGAAGAAATTATAGCAAGAGTGACGAAACAGGTAATTAGCTTATTAAGTGTGTTTCATACATTAAGCCAGTTCATCTGCAGTTGGTAGAAATCGATAAAAAAATCAAATTCTGAACTTTGAAAATTTCAATTCAAGGTTTTGGCTTTATTCCCATCATCCCAAGGTATAGAAGTCACTTGGTCATCTGTTGCCAAAATTTGGCAATCTCTCTATCAGGAGGCACCTGGAAAAGATCCGTTTAGACCTGATCAGAAGACACCTGTAAAAAATTTCTTCCTTGCCGGCTCATACACAAAACAAGTAAGTTTATGCAACTGATTTTGCCATAGAAGAAGAATGACGAAAGTAAAGTGTCAAGTGTTGTAAATTCTAAATGGCTGTCCACCTTACATGACTGTATAGACAGCATGGAATGATGATCTTCCAACGTTCACGGATGTGTTCCTGAACATCAAGTTTTCTATGTTTATGAATATCTCTTTGCTACATGAACTAATAAACTTGTGCTTCTTATAAGAACAGATTTTCCGTGGTTGCCATATCGTACGAAGAAACGCCAAAAGAAGCAGAATTATCTTGATCTTCTTTGGCACGGTAATACCTAATTAAGATTTTTTTTTATTTTTTGCAACATCATGCCATCCATTATGCTTGCTCTTGTCTTATAGAAGTGAATTTATACGGTTGTGTTGTGTAGACAATGCTGGCTCTTCTGACGGCATGGTGCCTCTGCAGCAGCAGCTATTGTATACTTAGCTAACAAGGGTAATGCCAAGGCAAATTGGTTTGCAATATGCCAACAATTCAACTCCTGCGAGCGCATCTCTGGCTCTTTAATTTGATCTTTTATAAGAGTTGTTGTTTTTATACTCCTAATCTTGCGTTCAGCTGCGGCCCTCTCTCGACGTTGAGTGTCAGTCTCATACATTTTCAACGATGCACATGTATACATGTTGATTTGTGCATCAGTGCGTCAGTTCGTGTGTATTGTAAGTGACATGGAATCCGTCGTGTGTCAGCTAAAATGTTTCTTTTTTCTTTATTTGATATGAAAAACGTATGTAGTTCATTTCATTTCCTTGCCCAATTATTGTACTCAATTCTATTTACTGTAACTGGTTCGATCTGCTACAATGCAAACACTGTCTACCATTTTATTGGGTATAAATGGGAGACTACCTTCATAAAATGTTGCACTCAAACCTTTCATGTCCCTCTAACTACTATAATACATATATAGCTTTTTTTTTTCGACAGCAAGAAAAATGGTAGCCACAAAGGGTTCACTCATTCCCCAGACAAGAACTTCTAACAATTTTTAATGTTTAACCATTTAAAGAGACAAAATAATGACATAAGAGCACTGGCTCATCAATCTGAGACTTGAATCTGTGGTGTGTTTAAATCGATTTGGGCCTGGAATCATACAAAAAATGCATGAGATCGCTGTTATCTGTTTCAATTAAGCTACAGCCAGGTTCCTTCTTCACCCCACTGTCATCCATCAGCTTTCTCACCTCTTCAACCCCATGCCACTCACCTCGCGAAGCATATATGTTTGATAGCAGCACGAAATCCCCACTCTCATCCCTTCTCATTTCAAGTAGCCGCTCATTTGCGCGCCTTCCCAGCTTGACATTTCCATGAACTCTACAAGCCCCAAGCAGAGTCCTCCAAACAATGGCATTGGGTTCAATCTCCATTTTTTCTATGAATTCAAATGCTTCATCTAGTAGCCCAGCCCGCCCTAACATATCCACCATACACCCATAATGCTTTATGTTTGGCTCAATTTTGTACTTATTCTTCATGAGATTGAAATATCTGCGCCCCTCTTCAACCTTCCCAGCATGACTGCAAGCAACCAAGACTCCAACAAACGTGATCTCATTTGGCCTGATTTTCAACCTTCGCATCTCTTTAAACAGATTAACTGATTCCTCAGCATGGCCATGAAATGCCAACCCTCCTATCACCGAATTCCACGAAGTCACATCCTTGTCCCTCATCCTCTGGAACACTTCAAGTGCCCTTTCAATACTCCCGCACTTGGAGTACATATCTATAAGCGCATTTCCAAGTATGATGCTCATATCTCCCCGACCCATCTCCTGAAGGGCAGAATGTATCTTTTGCCCAACATCTAAATCTCCAATATCTGTGCAAGCAGACAAAAGACTCAACATGGTCACTTCATCAGGCTTTTCTCCAAGACTCCTCATCTCCTCGAACACCTGCAGTGCCTGCTCATTCGACCCGCAAAGTACATAACCTGCAATCATTGCATTCCAAGTCACCACATCTCTTTCCGGAACCTCATCAAAGAGCTTCCTTGCACTCTCCATCTCCCCTTGCTTTGCATACCCTGTAATCATCACATTCCAAGAAACCAAATCTTTAACAGGCATTTCGTCGAAAAGTTGCCTGGCCTCATCCAACTTCCCCCTTCTTGCATATCCTGCTGTCAAAGCTGACCATGGCACAACGTCCCTCTTCGCCGAAGCATCAAAAAGTTCTCTTGCAATCTTCAAATCCCCACAATTAGCATGGAAATAAATAAGGGTATTTCTAACAAACGTATTCGACTCAAATCCGAACCTCACAACCTTCCCATGAATCCCCATACCCATCTTAACCCAAGAAAGCTTAGTGCAGGCCTTGAGTATAAACGGGAAAGTGAAGCTATCGGGCCTTGCATGCCGATTTTCCATCTGGGTATACAGAACAATCGCATTTAATGGGTTCTGGCTCTGAGCTGATCCTCTGATCATGGTGTTCCACATGAACGTATCTGGTTCAGCAACATGAACGAACAGTTGGTGGGCATAATCTATGGTGCCTGAAATAGCCATAGCACCGGCGAAGATGAGTTCTCTGATAGCAGAATAGTTTGAATTGAAGCCGTTGACGACCATGGAAGCGTGGACTTGCTTGAGAGCTCGGAGGTTGGTACATTTTTGCCAGAAGCTTGACCGTTGGTGACGGTTGGCGCTCCTGTCGTTTGGTCTCTTTCTGATCATTACACGTTGGTTTCATGCTGCCTTCTCATTTGCTAATTTCACTATGATTCTTGGAGGGAGCCCAAACTAAAATTGAAAGAAGAAAATATCAAGAATATGACGCGTTCCAATTGGGCTAATTGGGCTTTCAGCCCAGATTTCTGACCCATCTTTTTTAGAATGGGCCATGAAGCCACAAATTTTTTAGCTGGCTTTTTTTTCACACACTTTATTCTAAGATAGGAAAAAGTCAAATAATTATTGGTAACAAAGGCCTTATGTGTTTCATATCATTAAAATAAGAACAAATAATTGGGAATAAATAAATTGAACTTATGTGGTGGCAAATCTATGAAATAACAGCACTACAACTGCCTACATAAGAAATGATTTCAACATTGTCCCCAAAGATCTGGCACGAAAATAAGTCAACCAAAAAGTCTGATCTACATACTAATTGCTTATTTGAGGATCTCTCAATTGAATCTCTTTGTATATATATACGCATGATTATTAACAAATCGATAAATAAATAAAAAGATTTTCCGTCTTTCCCAGATCTTGTTATATCAAATATAATATGGTTACACATCTTACAGAATAAAATTAACAATATTTAATTACCTTTGTAGTCACACACAACCAGTCACTGGGATATACTTATAAATATTATCCTTCAAATATGTGTTGTATTATCCGTTGATTTGTTCTCGTTGACTTCAACAGTACTATATGATTTGCTGTCTTTCACTTTTGTTTTTAACTTACATTACAACAATAATTAAACACATTATTAATAAAATCCGAAACAATATTATATGATGATTGTGGTCCTAAACCCTACTTTGTGGCATTATTTCCAACTATTAAAGATAAGGTTTTTGGTTTTTGGTGTGACATTCAAAGATAAGTGTGAATTAAATGGGTTTTTTATTAAGCAGCTCAAAAACTTTCTACGTGTGTTTCCCGATTTGTTTGTGAACTGTCTGAATTTGGTCCTACTGATGAGATACTTTGAATCATGTTCCCTTAATCTCTAATTAGTCTATAAACATATATCCCCCAATCGTTTGATTTAGGTGCACTAATTCTATCGTCAAGTCAATTTTAAGCACCAATATAGCCTACACCTACGTACCTAAGTTGGAGTACCTTTAATCAAGACAAGATCAATTATCAACATCTAATTAAATGTGAAATTTTAGGTCTTAGATGCTATGTCAATTATTCCTCTTGAAAAATGGAATATACTTCAAAGTAGGTAATTTACGGGTGAAAAGAAATGTTAAACGAGACGTGTTCAAAAGAGAGTTGTTTTTAAGCAAGTTCTGTTTTTGTCCCTAAAACTGCTATGGACGAAAAGTTTTTCTTATTACATAGTTGCGAATTTGTTATTGTGTTCTGGAATAAAGGGAAACAAAACTTCATTCCCGAAGCTGCCAAAAATACATTGAATTCAAGTTATAGAGTACAGCCATGTATTGGTAAACCACACTTTTCTCAGCTAGATGATGGACCACATATAATTGATTTTCAATTGATGCCATATCAGTCAAACGTAGAAAGTTGTGCGAATCGTTTTATTAATACTTCGTCTTACCCTTTAAGGTGGCTAATCTTATTGGTTTACTTGCTCAAGTTTAACTTTATTTTACACTTTTTACTGAAAATCAAGCCGTTTTAAGGTGATGATTAACACCAAAAGAAGCCCATTTTGAGGTGATGATGATTTGCCATTCAAACAGTACCTAATCATTGAAACTCTAAGCCCTATCCCAAATATTATAAATTTAAAAGAATAAAAAAAAATTATATTTATTTTTTTGTCCAACCTACTCTTCTAAAATTCTAATTAATTTAATCAACGTATTCTCACCTTTGTCAACATTTTCTGCGAACCTTGTTTGTCCACGTGTCAATCTCAACCGTGGCTTAATGTCGGAACAGAGGAAGCAGGGCCCACAGTGCCAACGCAGCACTTGATCAAACGGTCAACGTAAACTTCAATATAGGTTCGGTAGGAACTTTTCGTCTTAGCCAATCAGAACTCGCCAAGTTGATGAGTTTGGTTGCTTTTCCGTCGGCAGTGGCGGCACAGTCAATTCTTTTTTATCGGACTCGGATGGCAGATATTAAGATTGACTGCACGAACCAATACGAGCCGTCCGATCAAGGAGGTTGCCGAGACGATTAGAAATACCAAAAATAGAAAAGTCCCTACCCCCACGCTTTCACCTACATTATTAAAATGTTTCCTGGAAAGGGGAGGGATCAGTTTTGGCATTATCGAGATTAATTAAAGAAGGTAAAAGGTTAAACAGTAGATTAATTCTTCGTCAAACTAATAATAAAGACAAATTTTGCTGCTTTGTTTGTTGGCCTAGAGAGAATGAACAGCTCATGTTTTGGCAAAACAAACATGCTTTGATGTGTAAACACATGCATGTTTTGTTTTCTTGTGAAATAAATTTATTTCTGATATGCATTTTCAACCTTACTAAATCAAACACCCAAATATTAAAAGGGGTAATTTGGATTACTAAATAATACAAAATTTGCAGTAAAGTTTGACGAGGAACACACTATAGCCAGTACAAATGCAATATTGCGGCTAAACACAAGTCTCTAATATGCCTTTCAGCCAATACGAAGGAAGTGGATTAACTTTTGTGGTTTTATATTTGTTTTTGTCACACTGCGGACTTGGGATAAACTAGAAATCCCAAACTTGATAAGTGATGTCCGGAACGTGACAATTTCCAACCTAATTAATTACACGACCTTAGTGTTTGTGCCTTTGCCACATAAAAACGATTATATGCCCGCCCTATCCATGTGCATTAGGTGAGCCCAATAATAATAATAAATTTGAAAAATCACACTTATTGTGAAACAGCTATAGTTGGGACCTAATGCTACATAAACCTCTCAAGGCAGGGCCAGCCAAGAGGGATCCTCATTTTTCTTAATTAAGTGCTCGAGACAATAAGGATCTGTTTGGGATTTTTTTTTATGAAAATTCAAAATTTTTATAATAAAAGTACTTTTTGTTATAAGCGCTTATGAACAAAAGTACTTCATAAAGAATCAGTTTGTTTACATAAGTTAATCCTTGGATAGGCTCTTTTGAGGAAATAGCGAGTGGTGATTTCCCCACTTCTTTTTCTTCTATTTTATCCACTTACACTCTTTTTTTATAACTAAAAAATGAGTGTAAGTGGATAAAATAGGAGTTGGGAAATCATTGCCCAATAGCAAAATTACTAAAAAAGTTCAGTGGAGATTTTGATGCACCACCCAAATTTTGTACTTAGATGCAATGGGACGGTTTCACTACTCTGATTAACTGACCTAATCCACATATGCACTTAATCACTTTTTGTCGTCAGAACTTTTAGTTTGGAACAACAAAATAATAAAAGGCAAAAGTAGTGAACGCAAGGGCGGAAAATTCAGTCTGTTTGGCTAATTCAAGTTGCAGCAAGTTCATGAATATGACATAGCTAGTCCATGAGGACCACAAAAACCCCAAAACGCAATTCCTTGACCTTGATGGGTCATAATATCATACGAGTGTCTATACAACCAGACACATAACCCTAATCATGCATTACCATAAAGAGAGTCACTGTTCACACTGCACACCTCCCATATATGAAGAAGTCAGAAAGATAATGTCACATGTAGCATGGTCTCTTTTGTCCACCAGTCCAACAAACCAAGTCCCTCACATGATAATTATGAATAATTTCCAATTTTTTTCTTTGCTAAATTAAAAGTTTGTAATAATATAAATGATTTCATTAAATTAATTACTTTCATTTATTTGTGATTAGCTGCTAATCTGTTGGCTTGACAAAATGTTCCGTATTGAGGGCAATTTGGTCATTTTGACAAGAAATATGAACTATTTTTGCTGATTTTGTAAAATGATTTTTAGTGATGGGTATGTTTGATCTAAGATTTTTGATTTTGCACACCAAAATAGCTATCATATGAAGGAAAAAAAAAAGATCTTCTACTAAAATTTAAAGTTTTTATGTTATACTAACTAATCTTCCAACATGGGCTCACGCCTATACCAATAAGCTTTCTATTTGTTTTTATATTTTCTCTTTATCTATAGAACTTTTGTTGAAAAAAAAAATATATTTTATTATAATTACTGTGTCCCCTTTTTTCTTTTTTGAGAAAAGATTGTATTTCATTAAACCAAAAGGAACATTACATAGTAAATACTAGCATGTTAACAGCTGCCTCGTAAAACCTTCCCATAGAAAACAAAACCCCAATGGTAGGAAAGAGTATCACCCATGCTATTGACTAAACAGAAGAGTCAAACAACTTATACGAAACAAACAAATCTAAAACTCAACCACAAAAACCTTAAAACAACATCTCATCACTATATAGGTACTGTAAAAGAAGTCTTCATATGATCTAAATAAAGTATCATAGTTCTTCGTACAGAGTCAAAAACGTAATATGGGTATTAGAAAAGATCCAACCAATCACCCAACCGCAAAATTATTGTGCCCTTTAAATGCCTTAGGTATTAAGAAAATAAAACTATTGCACGCATTAGACACTTTTGTAAAACTAGGTAGTTTCAAAATAACTAACAACGTGACTTTGGTCCCTAAATCTCTCTTTACCTAAAGTCAATAATTACAGATAGAGAGTTTAAATTTGGAAAGAAGAGAACAGTTCTTAGCTCTCTCATTTACATGCAGGTGACAGCGGTCAGTCGCTAGCTCCAAAGTCAAGAAGAAGGGAATTATTACAGAAAAGTTAAAAGGGAGAGCCTGAAATTTTGAAACTATCCACCAAGCTGCCTTACAACCCACGTTTCTTTCTCCCCCAAAACCTGTATTTAACGGGGTTCTGTACCTCTCGACACAATTTTTTTTCCTGGACAAAACATCTTTGAACATCTCTCAGTTAATTAGAAGCTTTTCAGTTTCATAGCTTTTTTTTCCTTATCACACAACATCTTAGCTTCTTTTTTTTTGTAGAAACCAGTTTGCAATTTATAGTTGTTTGGGATTTTTCTGTGTTGATTTCTGGAATTTA